AACAAGACGAGAGGGAATGGCCACAAACTGAAGCACCAAAGGAAACCTCAGGAACTTAAGGATTTTTTTTTTTTTTTAACAGTGAGGGTGACAGAGCACAGGAACAGGCTGCCCAGAGAGGTTGTGGAGTCTCCTTCTCTGGAGATCTTCCAAACAAACTAGATGACCTCTAGAGGTCCCTTCCAACCTTAAGCATTCTATGATTCTATGATCATCGAAGAAGAAACTGCCCTCTTTGTTTTAATCTTTTCACAGCAGTGGCAACCTTTCTATTTTTTTCCCTAAATGCAATCTTTTCAAAAACCTACAGCCTGACTTCCATGGAATTTGTAATAAACATATAAGAATTAGTAATCTATTTGAAATAAAAGCCCATTAGAGTTAAAACAAATGAGAGAACTCAGGCGGGGGCAGCTGATTGTCACTTCTGTGAACAGGGCAGCCCAGACTCAAATTGCAGGAAGATTCCTTCAAAATCTTTTTCCATCCTACACTCTGAGGAAAGGAAGTGGCAGCACATATTGGTATGAATATCAGCTGTACAAATCCTTTTGGCCACACAGGTCTAACCTGCAAGCTACAGTATGTGGCAACTGTTTAAGAAAGAAGTCAACTCCATTCATGTCTCACCTCTTTAAAACACTTACCTGACATTAAACTAAATGCTTTAATACCCACTGCTTACGTCAAAGCTAAAAAGTCAGTACAGCTGGTAACACAGCCTGACAGGGCACTGACAGTTTTCCAAGATAATGCTCACACATCAGCTGGGTCATTTCTTACAGAGCATTCAGGAGGCTACAAGCTCACAGCAGAGCCAACAGCTCAGCCTTCACCAGTTTGTGCAAGACTCTTCCATGGAGAAGAAACTTCCACAGGTCTTTTCCATTACATGTGATAAAAACACAAGCCAGGAAAATAACCTGCCACAGATTCCAGGCAGAACAGCAGGGGGCAGAAACATCCCAGGTGGATTCACAAGAAATATTTACGTGGTTCCATCTGTGCTCCTTTCAATATGTTAAATACAAACCTATTTAGGACAGTGATCACATAGGGTCAAATGCAGGATGAGAAGCTTATGTGTGAAAGCTGCCAGCACGGGGATAAGAAGTCTGCTTGTCAGTAGAGCAATTGTAATAGAGAATCAATGATACATAAAAGCATGACTTTAAAAACATCTACGGAACATAGTAACATATAAGATCAAGAAAAAAGTACATCAAGAACACATTAAGAGCTTTTCTTAAGCTCTTAATTCACACTTCATTCTTAACCTCACATTTCACTCTGTCAGGATCCATTACCAGAAAGAAGGAAAAGCAGTTCACTTAGGTTGCAACATACCACTCAGTTTAAAACAATGGAGGAAGTGGTTCTCTGCAGACATATGCTGCGAACATTCATCTCTTCGGGTGAAGAGGAGGAAGCAGCTTGGGCACGCATAACACTGGATAAGCTGAGGAGGGAGATCTTTTCTATGTCCATCATTTTCATTCAGCTGGAACATAAAATGGTCTACGTTAGGAAAAACATGAAGGCAACAGATCAGTCCCATCTCTCCGCATCTTTCTCTTCCTCTTTCTCTCCACAGAAAGATTCTTCCCTAGTAGGTGTCCAGCTACCACATCTATGTTTATCTACAGCCTACAGCTACAGTTCTGTTTGAGAGAGGGAACTGGACAACCTCTCTCCCTTAACTCAGTTCCTTAACCTTGTTGCTTGAACCAGTTTTCTGTTCCCTTCTTCCGCACCGCTGCAACTACACTTTCCTCGGAATGACTGTATTTAGCCACCAGTTCTTACCTAGTTCCTCTGAGCAGGCTCTCTGTAAAAGCTCTCTTTCCATCACTACAACAGAAAGGCTTTCCTGATACACTGTGTTGTTTCTTCATTAGCATTTCTCACGTCCATCTTCTCAAAATGCCACTCCTCAGAGCAGCTCGACAGACTGTGAGCCTTACCAAAGTCCTGTACATCTCAGATCCCTTCTTCCTTACTCCCCCCACCCTTCTTCACCTTCCACATCAAATGCAAGTCTCTGCCTTCACTGTAGAAATGCTCTGGCTTTGCTTTGGACACTCTGATTCTGCTTTTTCCTTTCACTTCTCCCACAGTATCTTCCTGACAAGCTTTCTTCCACAACACAGCTTTGCATCATGTTCTCATCTTTTATACCAATATTATCCTATCCTTATGCCTGCTGCAAGAGCCATTCCTTTCACCAAACATGTCTAGCAACTCCCGTTGATGTCCTTGCAGCTGAAAGAAATGGATAAAGAGCAGAGACAAACTATGGCGTAACTGTCAAGCTTGTGAGGTATGAACATGAATCATCTGAAAGCAGCCTGATTTTGAGAGCATCTAAAACTTCCCTTGATTTAATAGGCTAAGTGGGTCCATGTGTGGGTTGGTGATTAAAATACTCAACTTTGAAACTGCCACCCATTACCCATTTAACCAGTAGGCTGCTAAATAAAGTACCCTGAAGATAATATCTAAGCATCTTTCACTGAACTGAAATTTTACACCTTAAGAACCTAAGGAAGAAACAGATAAAGAGTATAATTAACAGAAAGAAGAAATGCAGAAAAGGGAATACTTTCTGGCAACAACCAATACCTTTTGTCCCACCAATAAAAAGTTCAAGACAGAACTACAGTCCTCAGAATAAACTGCAGAGTACAATCTAATGATCACATTTTATAGGAGTATTGTTCAAACACCCCAAGTGTCTGAAACATAGTAAAATAAGATGACTGAATGAAGGAAGGAAGGGAAAGAAGATAAAAGAGAAAAGTCTATGCATGACTTGGTGATCTTGCCTTAGAAAAAAGATGATCACTGTACTGCTGAGAAGTTGAAAATTTTTTGCAGCATATCACACAGGCAACAGAATTATTTGGAGGTCCATGTAGTGTAATCGTTGGATCACAAGGAGAATGATCAAACCTGTAGAAGAAGAAATAATTAACAAATTAGTCCCCTCTACACAGTCAAAATGTTCTTAAAGGCAAAAAAAAAAAAAAAAAAAAGTCCTTCAAAGCTCTTGGGAAGCAGTCTATCAATTACAACTATAAAACTCACCTAACTTCACCTAACATTAGCTATATTAGCCGAAGCATCCTGTACAGAGAGGATTCTTTTTGCAGCTTATCTATTGAATTTGCAGAGGATTAAGTGTTTCTAAAAAACAAAAGGACTAATGAAGCCACAGTTTCCTCATGATTTGCTTACCAGTGAAAGGACAGGAGCTGATGGAACTGACTCAGAAGCAGTAACTACTGACCAGCAACAATCAGCTCTGGACAAATGACTTGCCAATAGCTTCTCTCTGCTCATCTTTCCCTTCTTTAGGGACTTCCCCCCCCCTCCCCCCATTGTCAGATTTTATACAGCTTTTAGGCATTTAATTTTACATTAACTTTTTGCTATTTTTAAAATCCAGATCAAGAGTTGACATAGCAAGAGCAGAAAAATCTTGTTCCTTATAAAAAGCAGATTATTAAAACTGCTTAACCAGAGGAAGAAATCAAGTTCTGAATGCAAAAATAATCAGAAGATTACCATATCATCTATATAAAATTCCCAGAAGACTTATTTTCTTTCCAAATGGAATTGTGTTACTATAGGCAGTTTAAAGATAGACTCAATGAGGATGTCTGAATAATAAAAGAATATTCTTGAACTTATTTCTTGCATTGAGATCTAAGGTCTATGGCCTTACCTTTTCAGGTGACCTAGGAGAAGGTGCCCGTTATCGAACTTCCTGTTACAGTTCATGACAGGACAAGAAATTGGACTGCTCTTGCTTGGCGTCTGACCTGCCCTCTGATAACTGCCCCTTCTTCCACTGTTGATGGTGCCTGGTTTGAGACCTGTATTATAAAGCAGAGCGCTTAACCAGAATCTCAATTACAGAGGCTTTTAAAAAGTCACATCCCGAAGCATTTAAAATGCAGGTTACGCTGATTTTTAAAAGCCCACTAGCAATGACATGCATCACAATCCTACAATCAACTTTTACTTAAAGCATCTATTTTCTCAGTCACTAGCAGGATCAGATTTCTGACACTTGGACACCCTTTCCCAGATTCATGCATGATAATGATGCTTCCTACTAAAGGTACTGTATTCAGTGGCACTATTTTAAATTGATTCAACATCTGGAAATTATACTTCTTTACAACAGTGTATTCTAATATTTTTCCTCCTAGCAATTTTGCTTGTTAAAAGTAGTTGACATTACTTTTATACTTAGCATCAGTTAAATTTACTAAACAGCACATTCCATTCTGCAGTGCAGCACTTGGTAATGATTATTTCCAAGTGAATTAACAGTCACTTAGAAAATGTATCATGTAAATCTAGTTTCAAAGTATGTGAACGAATGCTCATTACTCCTCTTAAGTATTTATTATTAATCTGTGGTCTCTTATTATAGATTTGAAACCCCATCATTCTTATTATTACCTGGCATTTTTAACCACTGGTCCACACATAATCTTGCAGCTTCTGTGTCACTGTGCCCCCGAATAAATTCTAGTTCTTGCAGTCCATGAGCATACTGGGAATCAATTTTCTCCTGGAGCAGAAAACATATTAGGCAAAAGTCAAGATTAAGTATGCACATGAAGTTACCTTTTCAAAACTTATGTAAGAATCTCTATACAGAAAATAAAACCTTAAGGTTTTAGACCTTAAATAGAACCTTAAGGAATAAACCTTAGAACTTTTTAACTGACTTTCATATAAAACAATAAAGATGGAATAAAGTTGTAGGAAAAAGTATTTTCAACACTGAAAATGGTTGAGAAGGCTCCTCTGCTCCAGGTCCCCAATGCTAACACAGCAATTTCAATATTCCATGGGCTTCGTTCACTGGCTCCAGACAAGGTGCTGAATACCTGGCTTATGAGAAGGTAAAAAAAAAAAACTCACCTTGACATAAAGCCCCCTGCAGTTCAATTCAAAAAGCCATTCCTGGTTACAGATATTATTCTAAAGGCTCAAATGGCTACAGTTTGCATTGTGGTACTGCAAGCCCCCAGCTCTTATGGCACCTTTTCAAGGTACATGCTCCTCCCAAAGCAAAATTACTCTTTATTATTTAAAAAAACCTGCTGTCCTTGCTGTTAGATTCTTGCAAGAAACTGTAGAAGAAAAGATCATCCAATGCGACCTAAGGCAGCCTGCATCAAAGCAGGCTGTTTTATTTTTGGTTTGGACCGGTGTTTTCTGGCAGTAAACTTAAGACTATTTCTCTAGGAAGCCAAGTGACAAAGCATGGCAGGAGAATTATTTCTACTTAAAACATGTTGCTTCATTTGAAGGAATAAATATGGCCTCAGGAATGCAAACGAACTCCCTCCTTCCCTTAAACCATGTGCTGTGCATGGAAAGGATGCCAGACCTCCTTGCAAGCCTGCAATGGTGAATCTATGAGGCACACACAGCTGCCTTTTTGAACAAGACAGATCCAGGCTGGACACAGACTTCCCCTTGCTAGAGAAACTTTGCTCCCCAATTAGATGTGGGGCACAAGCTGAAAAACGACTCTCTTTGTAACAAAGCCTAACACTGTGCACTAACCCTCCTGAAAAGTGAGGGAAAAGAGTATCAGGTGAATATTTTTCCCTCTGGTAAAAAGCTGACTAGTTTTAACCCCTTGTTTCTGTTGTGGCAGATAAAAATATCTGCAAAATTATAAATTACTTGATTATGACAACTCTAGAACATTCTCAAGACTTCTTCCCTATGTGTATCTTCAAAGATGTATAAGGCTTAGTAAGATGTTCTGCTTTTGAATTGCCAGATTAAGGAAGGGGCACACCTCAAGAGACAAAAAAGCATAATATCTTCACTTGCTCAGTAATACAAAAGATTTGTTTTTCAAAGTGGGAAAACACAACCTTGTTTTTGAGAACTGAAGTCAACATGAGTCTGACAAAATCCTCCAAAATGGGTTAAAATACATTATTTCTGTGGAAAACCCCATGATCTCAACTAACCCTCCCTACCAGGCTACAAGGCACCAGTACCCCTAATAAAGTCCCAGGGCAATGGGGAAGTGCCCAGAAAGCGGCTCAGACTCAAGGCTCAGCTCAGCCTGAGGCATCTGCAGAGCTACTCTTAGCACCTCCTCTAGCTGTGACCATGATGCAGAAGGCAATGCAAGATTTTATGCAGTAGAGGCAGCAGATTTATATAGACTTAGCATCAGGAAAATTCGCCCTGTCGTGAGAGGAGCTAGAAAGTCTGAAGAAAAAGAATACCAAAAGCCATAATGTAAAATATGGTTACTGAAATCAAACCTCCTTCTACTGCCAAGACAAAAAGTCTGGAAGTTTCATTCTAACTCTGCAATTTGTATTATCTTGTGTTGATAAGTGAGGGGCTGCATAGATGAAAAATATTCACTATCTACAGAAAGGCTATTAATACTTTACTCAGGTTATTTGAAAAGCTACATAGCTAGCTCTTCCACTTCACAGCTGGAAAGCTGTACATGGACATATTAACAAATCTGCCAGATTCTGAGTGGCAGAGACAGGAGAGGAACATAGGCGTCTTCGAGGCTTCATTGCATTGTATCTTTTTTTTTTTCCCCTCTCTTCTCTGTTATTTTACAGTTGCAACAGCCTTAACCACTATAATTACGTAGCCTATTGTAATGGCTATTAACAAGGTTCAGCAATTTAGGTTAGAAAGTCAACACATTTTCTGGGAAGCAATTTCTGGAAAATGAGTTCAAACTCCTGCTCAAGGGAGGCTAATCTATGAGACCAGACTATGCTGCTCTGAATTGTATGCACTCGGGCCTACAAATCCATACCTTTTGAATGACTGCAGACCCATTATAAAAATACTGTCTGATTCAGAGATTGCATAACAAAAGCATTCCAATAATCTAGTCCTATGTGTAGTCCCAAACAAAAGCAGGTATACAATTTCAAATTTGCTGTAGGGTTGTGATCATTATCATTTTTCTGTTTGATTATTTAAGTACCAGAATCACTCATGCTAAGGCCCCTCTGCTATGTACCCAAACAAAGAAATAAAGAATAATTACTAACCTCATGCAAATCAACAACAAAAGTTTAAGAAATGTAATGAAACTAGTGAATTCATTAGCTAAGGGGCACTAAACATGCAGTCTTTATTACATTTTACTCTAGAAGTGCTCCAGAAGTAAAAATTTCTGATTGCTAGTTCCCGATCTGTCTCACTTATGTGAATTAAAAATACAAAAAAAACACTCCACACTTAATTTACTTTATAGTAAAAACAAACATCCATCTGACTAAAAAGGCTGGTACTATGCACTTCTACTGAAACGAAACAGCTCCAGTACCTTAAAAGCTTTGTTCTTCTCTTCTTTTTGCTGTTTCTCTACTTCAACATGGCGTGCCAGACGATCTAAGGTTGATGCAACCCTTTCCTTCTGATAGTCAAGGTGATCTTTACATTTAATGTTTCTCTACAATTGAAAAGTTAAAGTCTTATTTGGTAACTGTTAGGCAACTAACAGGTATTAAGAGAGTCAAAAGTTACACCAAAGTGTCAGGACAATTCATCCCACATGCTCCAGTCTTGTGTTCCATGAGCTACCTTGCCAACTTTCACTTTCAATTCAGTAACAGCAGCTTGTGTTAAAAAATAAAGAAAAACAAATCAACAAACCCCTCACACATTCAAGGTATACAAGATGAACAATGTTACCGTGCCAAAACATTAGAAGAGACAGCAGTGACTGTGTTGCATTTGCAAGAAGACTCAAACATTAAAATACACACCCCCACACACCCCTTAAGAGTTTTTTTTTGTCTTTTTATGTTACAAATTCCAAAAGACTTCAAAGCCAACCCACATCTGCATGGAAAATTGAGAACTGATAATTCCCATTCCAACTCAGTTCCTCAGAGATCCTCTAAGGAATGCTGTCCAGTCATTAGCTTATTCTAGAAGGGGGTACAGTACAAACACTGCAGTTTGCTCCTGCAACACAACCAGCTCCAGTGAGTGTCCAGTAGCCTGTGCATGCATACACAGATCTGTCCTTCTATTAAAACCAGGTACATCATCTACCGCACTACTGTCACACAGAAGTCACTGCAGGGCCACTGCTTCCAGCCTCAAACAGCCTATGCCCCATCACAACCCTCATGAAGGCCCTTAGTGAGGGTCCAAGCAGCCTGAGAAATGCAGGAGCTGTTCTGGTGATGACCAATCTGCTTCTGACTTACAAATTCTTAAATACAATTTTTAGCTGTTGGCTTATTTATTACTTCCTCAAAACACTTCCAACATTTTTTTTTCTTCAGGAAGAGTAGCTGATGGTAAATACACAGGAGGTGGTAATTATGTTTTTTCAAATGAAAAGTTCCAAGACACATTACAACATACTCACAGGAGCATAAGAACTGCTGTTAGGTTCTTCATCCTCACTACTCACAAGATCAATGCATTCAAGTACAGGTCTTATAGGCCCTTCCTGAGAAAGGATCAACAACAAACAAAAAGCATTAAATTATTTTTCTTGAGGATAAAATGATACAAACATTACAACATGTAGTAGCATTACAACATCCAAAAGAGAATTTCAACACCATTTCAAGAGGGTTTATTTATAGGAATCCTACAGTGCAACTCTTCCACTTATAAGGCTAATGCCTAACTAAAACATACAAATAAATATCCACAAACAAATAAAATAACATCTTAGCAAATATAAACTAGCAAAAATAAAGTGAACAGGCTTGGCCTGATCAATAGCTGTATATTCTTCACACACTCACCATTTTTCCAAAGGTACTAGGGTGTCAGATTGCCACCAAGGCAAAATGGTCTTGGATTTCACTAACCAAAGCTAAGTGTGTTTAGCTTGTGAAGATACAATTTAAATTGAATGTCAGCTCCAAAAGCAATCGGGCTCCTTAAACCCTTCAGACATTAAGAAGGCAGAAAACAGCCTCATACACATATACGCTCTAAAGTCCATTCATTTCTAAGCAGAGAGTCCACAAGGAGGTCATAAAATTCTATTTTTATTAAAATCATAAGAGAAAGGGAAAATGATTTTACTTTAAAAGAAATCACTTTTCACTCATTCATGCTAATAATGACATAGGCGTAAACACTATGACCTGTGCCCAAATAGGCTGCTTAGCATTCAGACACTGAGACAAGCATCCAGCCAGCCTGATGAGGGCTCCCTCAGCCACACCGAGGACAAAGGACCCCAGCTGCCAGGTACATCCTCTGTACTCTCCCTACTTTGGCAGCCACTCTTGGATACTTAAGATTTTTCCATTGCGTCCCTCCCTCCTCTGGGAGATTTATTCATTGTCTTTTGTTCCCTTCTCAAGTGCCCCAATCTGATGTCATGCAAAAACCTTATTATTACATGTCAACTAAACAAGCCAAACGAACACGAAATAGGGTAAGCAGCTCCACACAGACCAAGTGAGAATATTTCCAGTTACTCTAATTCACATCCATGATCATTGCTTAGGAGGGTACCTACCTTTCCTGGCAACCTTATCAACAACCTTGGTAACCTTTCTTGTTTGCCTCATTTTTGTAGCAACTACACAGTAAGATCAACCAAAGTTGACTTAAGTTTAGTTGATAAGTCAACCGAAATCACTACATGCTATAAGAAGTTTCCCACCTCTACTAGACTATGAAAGTTATTGTCCAATATCAAAGCAAATACATCAAGAACAAATACGATTTGAGTTTTTTCTTTCTGCTTAAGTTTGCATAACATTACATAGATTGCATTGCATGTAAAGTATTTCACTAAACTGCAGAATTAGCCTTTTGTCTAGCAATGGTGCTGAAAGATGCAGTAGAACTGCTATATACTCAAAAAAATATGCTTTTTAACAAGTTAAATTCTCCACACAAAAGAAGGGCTTAAGAGACTCAGCAACTTACTGAATTCTTGAAGACTTACAGTATTTCAGTCTCTGGACCATATATTTGGTAGCGTCATAAAATGTCCCAAAGCTAACCTGACTAGGGTGGGCTAAAACGATTTATTGCCCCATAGGCAACTGCAGTAGCACCCAGTGGTCTCTGCTGGGCTTGCTATATCTTATTCTTTCCATTCTTCCAGCTTTCAAGGCTTTAAAGCTGTTCAGCTGGCCATGCCTAACCAGCCTTCACATCTTACTGGGGAGAAAGAGGAATCAGAGAGATATATAACAAAAGCTAGGAATGGAGGTGCAGGCCACCAACTGGCCCAAAGGAGGGCCTAACTTGTTATTTACTTAAATGGGAAAAAAAAAATCTAAATGAAATCTAAAAATTCCGAGGCAGATTTGGTTCTGTAGGAACCGACAACTTACAAGAAATTAAATCCACATTAGAAACAACAGGTGTTATGTGACAACTTAAAGACAAACTCAGCCCATCTGACTGTCCAAACTGTTAAATAAGCAGCTGCAAAATGTTCAGGTCTGATATAATAGCTAGAGTTTCTTCAAATATACGTAAGTTTTCCTCACTTCTGTTTGACTAACTCAGTTCAGCTCAATAAATAACTAATTAAAAGCTAGGAAACCGCGAACTGAAAAGCAGGGAAATACCCAAGTCAGGGTAGCTTTAGTGACCAAAGTAGTAAATTCAATTAAATTGAAATAATATCATTTCCATACATGAAACACATGCTAAACTTTTCCTTCCGTATCCCATAACATTAGCTGAAAACTTTTTACTGCCTTTTTTTGTTTGGACTGCAGTCTAGGTTAAACACAAATGCAATATGGCAACTTTTTAAAATGACTTCTCAAGAAGAAATATAAGATATCTGACTACAGATGTGAAATATGAAAAATAAATGACCTTTTTATATACACCTCTGAATAAGGCAAGTCCCAAGTAAGGCTTTTGGGCTAGCTTCTTTTTTTAATGGTTGTTAGCTTAACTTTTAGAAAAAGGAATGCAATCTTTAAAAATATATTGAAATTAAAGATGTAAGAACTACTGTCCTGAGTCAGATCAAAAATCCATCTGGGCTACAAAAGATGCTTTGAGAAAGTTTAAAAATCAGGGTATACACAGTGCAATCCTATAGTCAGTAAATCTATTCAGCAACTGCATTAAGTTGATGCATGAGTAACTTCAGACAGACCTTCTAGATTTTTGAGCTCACTTGGAGAACCGGTGCCAGGTGAAACATTTTTTCAGAGGCACAGCAGGTCCATCCAGCTCTTCATATTTCCTCAGGAGACCAATTCCACCAATTAATAAGCCCATGATGGGTGTGCTCCTTCCCCTGCCCAACCCAACTTTTCACATGTAGCCCTGTTCAGCTGTTAACCACCAGTTACATTATCTGATCCTGCTGGTTGCCTTCCTGATCTCTTCCCCCACTCAGACATTAACCATCAATAACAATCCTGATGGCTGCATTCTGATGGGGAGATAAGGGCTAATTGTGCATACCAGCAAAAATCCCACTGAAATGAAAGAATGATTGAAGTCAGTCATCTTACCCCATTGCACTACCATTCTGAGAGACCTAGACAGAATGGAGAGTTGCCAGAGAGGAACCTCATGAGGTTCAACAAGGACAAGTGCAGGGTCCTGCCCCTGGGGAGGAATAACCCCAGGCACCAGTACAGATCAGGGGTTGACCTGCAGGAAAGCAGCTCTGTGGGGGGGGATTTGGAAGTCCTGGGGGACGACCATGAGACAGAAATGTGCCCTCATGGCCAAGAAGGCCAAAGGGATCCTGGCCTGCATCAGGAGGAGCATTGCCAGCAGGTCAAGGGAGGGGATCCTGCCCCTCTCCTCAGCTCTGGTGAGGCCACACCTGGAGTATTGTGTGCAGTTCTGGGCTCCCCAGTACAATAGGGACGTGGAGCTTAGAGAGAGGGTCTAGAGTAGACCATGAAAATGATTAAGAGGCTGAATTAGCAAAACTATAACGTCACGATGTTATGCAAAACACCAACTGTAGCACCTAAAATAAAATAAAATAAAATAAAGCTTTAGTCAGCAGCTGGTAAAGATGAAGCCTCAGATTCATCTCCAAAGAAAATTTACTTTCAATGAGTTTCGCAAAATCATATCTGTTACTTTAACATATTTTTTCAAAAGTCGCAAGCTCTGGTCTCATTTCCTTCCCCCTTTTTCACCTGTGTGTGGTTATCAGACCTAGCCAACAGCTACCTAACCCACCGATATTTCTTGTGAGCTTTTGTTTGTCTATTTTTTTTAGCTTTATGTGCATTCAGATCATGAACCCAGTTTGCATAAAAAACACATGCAAACTTCTGCATAACTGTATACACACTTGCATATAGAAAGCATGAAACATACATTAATTCTATAATACAGTGCATTGGAAGTATCTTTGTCAAAATAGTTATGTGAGCATAGATGCATATACATATATAATCATACTTACTATTGTCCAGCATGTAGGGACATAAAATCTGACCCAGGCTGAATTATTTATGCGCTAAATTTTTGTCCCAGCAGACTTCCTACGTCAGGCCAGTTTATTAACTGATTGAAGTTGTAAACCAGCATGCACTTAGAAAGGTTCCCTTTCTCTAATATGGTAAATATAAAAACATAAGTGCTTGGCTGACTTGATTTGGGGAACAAATGTAAGGATTCTTCAGATTCTTCCAAATACCTGCAAAATTTTCTTCAGTACCTACTACGATGTAACTGAAAGCCAGAGAGATACGACCATGTAAAAATGCAAGTACTCAACAATTCATATAGTAAGGAAACAAAACGAAATCTTCAAGTAACTACTAAGTTTCAGCAAATCACTTGACTTTGGTACATCTTAGGGCCAAGTGTTTTTCAAGTTTTAGGAGACCCTGCAATTGAAAGAAAAAATATAAAGTACTCTTGTTCCTTATGACCTATGCAGATTTTTTTTTTTAATAAATCAGTTTTCTTTGTTTTAATATCATCAGCTCTTAGTGATTCCTGCTCTGTTTTCTCCACATCTTTCAAGACTTGTATTTCTGATCTTTCAGCTCCATCAAACACTAAACAAGTTTTTGCATCTTTCTTGTCTGTATACCATTCCAATCGACTAATAACATAGAATAAAGTTTGAGCAGTAACTAGAGATAATTAGGTCATCTCCGAGTTTCTGAGCAAGGTAGTTTCATGCTGTCATATCACATTCCTTCTTTCAATCTCTGCAGAAAAATTCATATTGGCTCTCTTAAAATTCTGAATCCCTACAGTCCTGAAAACCACTACGGTCTTGATATCAGGATGATAAAACACAATATGTAACAGCACTTGTTTTTCTTCATTCGCAGCCCTTCGAGGCGCATTTCTTTTTGTACAAAGCACCATGTGATTTTTCTGTCATATCCAATATTAGACCCCTTTGCTATTGTACTCCTCTGCTAATTACAAACATTTAGTGACTATTTACTAGCAAAATAAACATTCTGCAGGGGCTATATGGAGTCACTATTTTTCAGGATAACTAGTAGAGATTCCTATTTCCTCTCTAAGGAGTAAGAACAATTTCAGCAAACAACTTTTGAAAATAAAAATGGTTAACACTGTTAACCATTATAACACAATCTATGGGAGTAGTCAGGGCAAGGATTAGCAACATTGTTTGATAGAATTGTGCAGTATTTTGGAGCCCCACACACAGCAACAAAGATAGGAGGAATCCTGGCTAGAAAAGCCTCTAACTTCCTCGTGGATAAATTATGTTTCTTAAAGGAGCATCGGAAGTGAGTAGTGGTTATGTAAGAATAAATGTCTTAACATGTTTACAGGAAGAAAGTTTGATTTTAATAGATTATAAAAATACTTGCTTCAAAGTAAACATCATGAATCTAGCTTAACTTGAATATTCGATATTAAGCTGTTCAAACTTGTCTTTCAGACAACAGCCTTTATTTACACTGTCTTGTGTTTGGTTGATAAAAAAACAAACAAAAAACTAATAATTTGCCATTGAAGAGATTTGCCTGAATTGAAGGCAAGATTCAAAAATATACACAAGTAATTTGGCCATTTACTTTCATCAACTTGCATTCAAACTGGGTACCAGTTTTTGAGGATGTCTTTCAGAAGGTCTCATCAATAAAGCAAAAAAAAAAAAAAAGTTAGCAGAGATCAACACTATTTAAAAAAAATGAGGAGTCTGATACTTTCTATACAGAGTGGTAACTAGAAAAATCTGTCTACATACAGCTATAAACCATATTAAATCTGTGAATCTCTTTATTCTTGCCTCATACTTCCTCAGGAAAAAGAATGAAATTCAGAACATCCTATCACAAAGTATTAAGCCATTAACAATCATGGAACACACTGTAGATTCAACCACCTTTTTCTGCTAGTCTGCAAAGTTTGAACATAATGATTGTGAGCGGATGAGACAAGTTGTAATGTAGAATTAAAGGGTAGAAAATTATGATAGAACAATTGGAAGCTTCTTAAAAGCGGATGAGCCTGACTTTAGAAACTGGAAAACTCTAGCAGCAGCAGAGACTGTTTTTAAAGAAACAGTTCAGAAGCAGCAGAAACAAAACAGAAAATAAAGAACTGAGGAAAGAGGAAAACACAGAAGGCATATGGCCTACAACTATTTGCTCTCAATGAAAATGATTGTAGGCTGAGATTTCCACATGGCCTTTTCTAACTCAATCAGTACTGAGTTACCAGTATTAGTAGTGGTCTGGGCATGTTGGGTTCTTGGTATGTGCATAAAACTGTACTTTAATGCTTGGGTAGCATTCATGTACAATATTTATAAACCTTGTACATTTCTAGTCATGCACACATTGTACTGGAATGCTGATTTAAAGCAAAGGAATAGTTTAGAAAATCTTTTGCAAAACACAAGTTCACTTTAGGGATGTATGATAGCAGGAATAAATGACATATCAAAGAGAGGAAGCGCTGCTGACATGAGGTAATGGCCAATTCTGGACACCTTTTCCCCCCATGTATTCAATGACCGAAGTACTATCCTTGCCCCTTGCCTTGCAGAAATGAGCTTAAGAAACTTGCTTTCCACATACAGTTGCCTCTCTCAGCATTAATCATTACTGGCACCAAAACAGATCCCGATTATACATATGCATAGCAGGAAAACCAGTAGCAGTCTGGTTTTAATAAATCTCCTTTCTTTTAACTGGTGCTGTGGGTTCCTCCCCCAGTCTTTCAACTGCCGGGCATCCAAAAGTGTATTAGCTATCTCAGTCTTGGCCTTGTCTATTAAGAAAGTGAAGTTTATACATTCATGCTACACGTGAAAACACAGGAATCCTTGTCTGCATATACAATTAATTTTGAACTCATTAGTCAGTGTCCATCAAATTCGTTTACAAGACTGAGAAGTCTCAGATATCATCAACCACTTATAGTATTAGCAAAAACATGCACATGCCTCTCATACTTGAGCTCTTAAAAACCTCTGGAGAAGGAAAGTCTGCACCTTGAATTTAGGCTTTATCAGACAGCATACAAGAAAAAAAGATACATGAGAGCAGGTGCAAAAAAATTCCACTAATGTCCATCACTATTCACCACTGAGAACAATACAAATCCACAGGAAGCCAGGCATTATCAGTCCTGATATCATATAAGTACCTGGTCTTATTTGCATGCCTTGTTCCTAGGGGAAATCATCTTTCTGTTTTTGCATGTGTCCTTCCCATGCAGCCGGACACCACTTCACTGGTGATGCAATAATCTGACAATAAGCCAGAACACAGGCTGCAAAAAAACATTTGACTTCTCTTGCCTTATTTTATGTGCTATAATCGTGTCAGCATTAAACTTATCCGCTGTACTACAGCTATTACACTGTACTCGAGTATACTCTTTAAGGCCTTTATCCCATTATTTCCTTCCTCATTCTCCTGCTATAAACATATAGTGTTTTTGACCTTTTGTTTGACAAGCGAGCAGCACTTGTCCATTAATTTTAACAGGACTATTCCCAACGCAAAATGCCATGCCATATGATTACAAAACAGAATAAATAACTAAACCCAAACAGCTACAACCATTAACAAGCTTTAAAATGAACTTTCTGTCTGACACAAAGATTTTCCATCTAAATCACCTGCAAAACCTCAAACCAGTATTTTCCATTGAAACATAATTAAACTCGTAAACAAATAAATAGGAAAAAAAAAATCTATTTCATACAACTACTGAAGTATTCACGACTATGGGCACTATGTTCTCATATCCAAAATATACTTACTCCAACGAACTCAACCTCATCTTCACTTTCATGCTGATTACTACTTATTTGTGCCAATGGCGTTTCACTCTCACCAATGTTGCCAGAGCTGGAAGACTCCATTATCTAAAGAGAAACGAAACAAAACGCACTTCACCATATGTAAAAAAGTTTCTTTGTTACAGTTTCAGTTTCTTTTACAGCTACTTTAGCTTTACAAACATTTTGTATTCAGCAAATCTCTTCATATCATTGACACAACTATCGATAGCAACAGAATAAGCGATAACAAGGAAATAATTTTGCTTTGAATCACGTTGCTACATTTCCCAAGTACTACACGAAACATAGCCTGACCTCCAAGACCTATAAGCCTGTAGCAGTCACCCCGGTGAAAGATTTCCTGAAGAGAAACCTAGCTGAGTTTATCCCCTAATTGATTAACACGTTTAATATGAAGAGAGAGAGCCCCTAACATGCTCCCGTGAGCTCCTGGTAAAATCATTACCTGTGCCTTGCAGCTGTGCCCCCCATTAGAATACACAGGTTTGCTTAGCAAAACACACGTCTTAAAAGCGACGACTTTAGCGCATACTTAGCAGGAAT